CGTTGGGTCTTCCAATATCGGGAGACGCCCTGCAGGGAATAACGCCCGGGGGAACTGGGATCAGGTACAGCTCAGCCCCTTTCCCCCCGCTGAGCCCCTTCCCGCTCCCTGCAGCCCAGCGCCCCCTACTGAGCACCCTGCCCCGCTCCCTGCAGAATGGCACCCCGTATTGAATCCCTGTCCCCGCCTTGCGGCCCATTTTGCTCCCATCCAGCCCCCCCCCATTAACAGCCCCCACTCTCCCACCTTGATCCTGGCAGCCAGCTGAGCCCCCGTCAGCACCTGCCCGGCTCGGTCCGTCCGGACGTGTGTCCCTGCTGAGTGCACCACACTGGTGATATACTCACACAGGCACTGCCGGAAATCCTCGTCTATGTCTGCAGAGGGGAAAAGGACCCGGGCATCCGGGAGGGATCCAGGTGTCCAGGGTAGGACACACATTAAATGCGATTGGGTGGGCTAGTTTGTGCCACAGGAAGTGAGATTCCATCTCTGGACAACAGCTGCTTAACGCCCCCCACCCCACTGCCTGGGGGAAAATGGGGGAGAGGCATAACATGAGGGGGCAAGTAGAGGCTGCAGTGGGGAGACAGCAGTCTCCACTGGGTGGTGCCAGGGGACCCATGAAGACCCAAAAGGGGGACACCAGCAGCGTTCCACTAGCAGACCAGGACCCCAGCAGTGACCCCCCCTCCCCCCATATCCCTCTCCCCTCCCACACAGATGCTGTGACCCAGCAACTGCCCCTGTGCAGTGGGCAGTAGAGTCAATTCTAAGTCAAGGGGGGTGAGCTGGGCACTGGGATTTTGGGGTGGGGGAAGCGCAAGAGGGGAAGAAAGGGGCAGCAGAGGAGAGAGGGTGGGGATGGGGGCAGGGAAGAGGGTAGGGGCAGTGCAGGAGGGGGTGGGGACTGGGGGAGCAGAGCAGGGGGTGAGAGGGGAGAAGATGAGGGTCTCTTACCATCTGGCGTCCCTGCCCTGCTCCGGGTGAACTGAGTGCCAGGGTGGGGCAATAGGTAGCACCGGGTGCCGCTCGCCCTCAGGGCTTCCAACACCAGGGGCTGCTCAGCAGAGACCTCCAGGTCCTGCGGGAGTCAAAGCAACATTTGTG